GGCCTGGCAAAGGGAAGTGAGGTAGTAAAACAGGAGCATTAGCAAAATGAAGAGGAAAAACAGTTGGGAAAGCAGTGAGCTCCCAAGACAAATCCTATGAACTCGTCTGGTAGTTTCTAAGTTGTCACCTGGCAGCGTCCAGCGAGGCAAGAAAAATGGGACTCACAGGGAAGGGAGAGCAGGGCCTGCATTTAACACGGGAACCCCCTGGCTAACACATGAATACACAGTCCTCCGAGTCTGGAAAGATGAATTTCTTTTTAAACAAAGACAAGTAATTAAGGGCTGGAGCGTGGGGACATAAAAGCGAGCACGGCCAATCTGGCTAAGCAGCCTCTGGACTGACGTCAGTGGGGCAGGGTGCCCCCTGCTAGGGACGCCCCGCGCGCTGCCCACACCCATGGCTTGCGTAAGGGAGCTGCTTGTTACTCAAGGCTGATGGTTTGCAGCAGAGATAAATATCTTTGCTGAAAGCCCTGGGCCTAGCTCCCAGCAGCAGTTTATGTTATGCAGTCAATGAAATTAGATCACACCCAGAGGTTTTCTGTGTGCACGCATGTGTGTGCATGCGGGTGTGTTTTTCCAGCCCTGCCATAGTCACTGCGAGAAGGACTGAGCCATTGCTTGCCTGCCTGGTGCACCAGGAGAGGAGAGGAGCCGTGTGGGTGCAGGGCAGGCAGGGGCTGGCCAATGCCACTGGTGGCTCTTCCACGGCCCTGATGCACGTGCCTCTGATGAGCCTTCATGCCAGGACTTGTCGCTGGCGACTGAGGCTGCCTATTAAGTGTGTGTCCCTGTATTAGTTTAATGCTCCTACATACAGTACGGAAGCTTTGCTCTCGCCAGCTGGGTAGCGCTGCCCTGTAGAATAACCACAGGGGCAGGATGGCCTTGCAGTGTCCCCTTCATCAGGGCTGTCTGGATATTTTGTCCTGTAGGGCCATGCTCACCCCCCTGTCTGCAGAAGCTGTCCCATGGAGACCTTGTATCCTCTCCACTGGGTGGCCAGAAGAAAGCTCTGCTTGATGCTCCCACAGCCTGGGGCCTCTGCCTTGGGGTGGGGGGCTTTGCACCCACTGAGCACAGCCTTGGCTGGGAGAGGAAGCTGTGGGGGCCGCGAGGCTGCTGGCCTGGCTGGTGTTTCACCCTCGCAGCCCAGAGCATTGGCTTTTCCAGTTTATGTGGGTCAAGGGCGCCCTACCAAAGCAGTGGAGATGCTGAAGGACCTCAAGCCGAAGGGCGACCACCTTCTCGGGGGACATAAGGGATCACTACTGAAAGTGGTGTTAAAACCTTGGTTAATAGGGAGCTCTGGTTGCCTTAAAGCCCTACAGTGAAGCTCTCAGGGGGTGCCACCCTGAACACAGTGCTCGGGGGAGGATGAGGTGGCACCAGTCCAGGGCATGAGTTAATCCCCAGTCCCATTAGGAGTAGGGTAGGCTCCACATAACACGTATGCGTCAGTGCAGACACTTCCCTTGCATATGCCTTTTTTTCATGGACTTTTATCCTTTTTTGAGATGATTTTCCTCCCATGAGGAGGGTTTACAGTAAAGAGTAGCATCCATACACACCTCACGATGCGGCACAAGGTTGCGTTTGAAGCCAGACTCTTCCCCACAGGTAGCTGAGCCACGTGGGCAGCTAAGTAGCAGCAGAGGAGCTCCTGAGGAAAGGCTTCAGATTTTGTGCTTTCTGCTGCTGGAATCACGGGGAGCCTGGGTGTTAGGGAGGCAGTCATCATAAAGACATGAGAGAGAGCTGCCTGATTTTCCTGACAAAAAGAAAGAGGAAGGAAGGAAAGAAGGAAGCGATGAAAGAAAGAAAGAGAAAGAAAGGAAGAAAGAGAAAGGATGGATGGGTGGAAGGAAGGAAGTTCATGGAATACTTTTATTTATTTATTACTTCATCTCTACTGATTCACATCTGCAGTTTCTGTAGATTTCCTGGAACTGTTATATTATGATTACTGTTGAAAATAATAAATATCATGCCATAGCATGCAATTTACCCAGCTTGTTGCATCGAGCCCCATTTGAGTAGGCATTGTCCAAGCACATTTTAAAATGGCCTGTTCCTCAAAGAGGTCGGATTCCTCATGGAGCACCCAGAGTAGGTCAGGACTACAGACAGGTCAGCGCAGACTGCAGGAAGGAGAAAGGAGATTAGTCAGTGTCCTGGACATTGGTCCCAACCCCATAGGAGCATAAATTTTGAGAAAATGTTCCTCGGGATCAAAGCAAAGAGAGTCTTGAGGCAGAGCTTTACCCAGAGGTCCTCAAAAGTCTCAGAGAACAGTATCAGAAAAAGCAGTAAGTGCTTTTTCTGATAATAAAATCAGGTGGTGGTGGAGGCTGGATGGACCCCCTAACATAAATGAGGGGTGACAGGAAGGCTTTGCGCAGGCAGACAGCCAGGGTATGCTGAGTGGCCTGCATCCTCCTCCGCAGGGGATGATTTCCCAGGCTGGGTCACCATCTCTGTTGCCCCCATGTCAGGAGGGCTGGGGAAACTCAGAGAGATGATCCCAGAAGGATCTGGGGAAACTTCAATGTCAAATAGCTCCTCCATCTCCAACATCTTAATCCTGGTCCTGCCCTGCACTCCTCTGTACTGGTTAAGCAGTTTTTTCTCAACTCCATGGGGCCTTCCTGCCCTCATACCTAGGAGTGACAGCTATATCTCATTCTTCTGTTTTCATCTGAATTATTTGACTTGGTCTTTCAGCGAGAATGAGAAAAGGAGGAAGATATGTATGCCTTGTCACAAATCCACTCATATGCTTTTGGCTGTGAGGTTGTCACAGAGCCATCCACAGAATGGTTAAGATGTAATAAATTAGGAATTAAATGAAATGATGTTAGTGTAACAAGGAATGAGTGCTGGAAAAAATGAGGATTTCCAAAGACAGAGGCTAAGATGCCTGAGCTAGCACTGATGAGCTTGGATATGGTGCTGTGGAAGACTCCTGAGGGAAATCTCCCAATAGGGAGATTCACTGGATGGTGGCATTGTTTCCCAGGAAGACTGATTCCTGGACTGAGAACATTTAAAAATAGGTTATTAAAATAAAATTTAAAAAAAGAAACCAGCTAATTGACATAATCTTGGATCAGTTAGGAGATCAAAGACAGAAAGTACTGCTGCGCCCTTTCCTTTTTGAACTTTTAGGAGCTGAGCACAGAGGCTCAGAATTAAACTTTGTAGTAGGGCTACCATGTTTTTTGTCCAAAAATCCCAGGCAGAAATGTGTCCACAAGAGCTGGACAGCTGTGCAGCACATGGCCGGGCAGGCCGTGCCATGCTGGTCAGTGCAGCCCCCAGCCCAGGTGGTTGGGTGGCCCAGCCATCTGCCGCCCAGCCACAGCTCCCACGCATATGCCTGCTGTGGACTGGGAAAGAGGGCAAGTTGGGGAAAGCCCACTGTGTGGATCGGCTGCGGTGGCAAGCAAATAGGAGCCGCAGCCCCCTTGTCCTCGAAGTGCCAGCCCACTGCCGGGCTCGCCGCCCCACGACAGCTTTCCTTGTCCGTGCGAGAGCAGTCTCTCCTGCGGGGCGCCCACCCAGAGTGGCGCGCCTGCCCGTGGCCCCTCGCCTTGCCAGACCTGTCACTGTCACTTAATTATTAATTGCTCAGGGCAATCTGCAAGGAAGCAGCCTCCGAGACTGGTGGTTGGGCTCCCTGCGTTTCACTCTACCTCACGCTCAGGCTTGAGGTTTTCTGTAGTTTTCTTGCGTTAGCCTTTTCTTTGGCAATTAGCCTCATTCATAGCCTGCTCCCTGAAAGCAGTTGGAGTCCTAACAAGAGGCTGTGGGAGCAACTGTCCTCTGAGTTGCATGGGTGTAAATCAGGAGTAACTCTCCTGACAGGCCACTGCTGCAAGGTGATGTATGGCCAAAAAACAGATCCCACTGAGGGCAACACGTTCCTGCTGTTTGCCCTTGTTTTTCCTAGAAGCTCATTTTATTCAGCATGGGAATATAGGTGGTTGAGTGACTGGGGAACTGTCTTCTGGGGCCTGGGCTTGGCCCTCTGCATCTTCATGGGCCCCTCCTGTGACCTAGAGCAAGAACCGCAGTCTTTTGTGTGATTCAGCCCCATCTGTGGAAAACAGGACTCCAAAGGAGGGAGAGGGAGGGTGCTGTCAGGGCATGTGTGTGAGAGCAAGCCAGGCGCTCAAACGCATCACTCCCAAGGGTCGTGTCAGGACTGCAGTGATGTTCGTGTCAGCTGACCAGCTCCCATAGTGGGGGCCGGAGGGGAGCGTCCCGAGCTGGCCCTTCCCCTCCCCGGAGCACAGCCTGGCTGGGCAGATGTAACAGCGCTGGTATGGCTTTGATCAGCCTGCCCTGAAAAAGACCCATCTCCTGCCTTAAGTCAAGCACAGCCAGAAACAGACATGAACCCCGAAGCTCAGTTCCCAGCACTCTCTGATGCTGGGAACTTTCCATCCTGGAGCCGAACTCTGTTTGCAGTTGGTCCAGGAGTGATCGACCGAGCCTGGGCTGCTTCAGCACTCGATCTGTCCAGCTCCCATCAGATTCCCGCTGCCAGCAGCTGCAGGAGACCAGCTCCATGCTTCTCCAGATGGCCCCAAGAGCCCCAGCTGAGTACAGTGGGAGCTGCTCTCTGCCTCCCCTCTGCCTGTCACTGAGCAGGTGACGCTCATCCCTCGTCTCTGTCCTCCCAGGCACTGAGGGCTTCCAGGCAACCCCAGATACTGGGAGCTGCTGCTGCCCCAGGGTGCCAGTCTCTCATTTAGCAGTCTCATCATTAGCAGTCTCTCATTTTCCCCATCCTTGCTCACCATCACTATCTGTCACTATCTTGCTCTCTCTGTCAAAGTATTTGCTTTTGCTGTTGTTGAGTGTCCTGCCCAAACCAATTAATTGATCATAAGATTTACATCCATTTCCTCCTCTCTCTCTCTCTCCCTCTCCACCCTTCTTTCCTCAAACCTTCTCCCTGCCCTCCTCTCCCCTCCCTCTCATCCAAATAGGTAAAGAGAGCAGTTTGGGAGAGGCTGACTTGCAGTCGAGCTCCGACCCTTCGGGAATGGACAGCAGCTACCTCAGCGTGAAGGAGGCCGGGGTGAAAGTCCCCCAGGACAGGGCCAGCACTGACCTCCCCAGCCCCATGGACAAGGCCGACTCGGAGAGCAACAAGGGTAAAAAGAGGAGGAACCGCACCACCTTCACAAGTTACCAGCTGGAGGAGCTGGAGAAGGTCTTCCAGAAGACCCACTACCCAGATGTCTATGCCAGGGAGCAGCTAGCCATGAGGACAGACCTCACTGAGGCTCGAGTACAGGTAAGGGGGAAGCTCTGGGGTTGGGCGTAACGGTGGGTCATTCTGCAAACGAACTGGTGCTTTCCAGGTCTCTAGGAGCAAACTCATGACCCTTGCAAATTCATTGTCCCTTGCTCTGTCTGAAGTCACCTACAATTTCACCACAACCTGCAGGCAACTGAGCTACACCCAGAGCCTAAGCCAAAGGCTAGCATGCCTCTTCTGTGCTGAGGGCATCAACATACCAAGGTGCGGGGACAGAATGAGGAGGTACATCTTTGTCTGCAACTAGTGCCAGCTCCTTTATTTGGAGCTGATGTCCCAAGCTTCATGGTTCATAGAGATGGCTCTTGTCCTTAAGCTAATGGGACGGTGTGGGAGGTAAGTCTCACTGTCACCCTAAACAAAGCTGTCACAAAATGACTTTTCTTCAGAAGAACTATCAGGGGACACTTGTTCATTAGGTGATATAGCTTTTGCTGCCTGGTTGGATAAGGAGGCACTGAGACGGTGTATGAAGCCTACTGCTCAGAGCAAAAAGGTATGGCCACCACACTGAAAGGAGGAGGAAAGTCAAACAGCCATGCTACACTCTCATCACCTTGAGAGTGAGAGCTGTCAGCTCTCCCACGCTAGAAAAGTGAGGCCTGGGCTTCGGCAAAGCCAAACTCCGCAGGAAGTAACTAGTGATTCTCTGAGTGGTGCTCACTCCTCTCAGTCTATATTAAACCAAAGGCCTGGCAGAGCTCAGAAGCATTTTCCAAAAAAAGCACCATTTCTTGGAGCAGCCCTCCATATCTCATGCTTTGATAGCCATCAAAGGACCCTCCAAACCTTAGAATCTAATTCTCCAGTTAGCTAATCCTGTGACCTTTGTATTCTGGCATTCATCAGATCACCACCCCTGGGACTTGTGTTAGTATCAAGGATAGCTGGAGTGTGGAGGCATCTGACTGTATCTCTTACACTAGGAAGACGCCCAGGTTACAGGCAACCCAGCTTTTCCTCTGCTCTAAGCCTTACAAACAGTTTTTGCAAAGTCAAAACAATCAGGCCAGCATCCTTGCATAAGTCCTTTTTAATCTATACATTTACTTCCAGTTTCAACTGGCTACAGGATTGTTCTCATCCGCTTGCCTGAGGCGGTTTGCAGGGCTGCTGTGCTCTTCCCCACAGCTGTTTCTCTTCATGCGGGACATGGCTGCATTTCAGCAGAAAGCAGTGATTCCCACTGGTCCATTGCCTAGCGTGCTGAGCACTGTGGGATGGGCATCTCTGCAAATGTCAGCTATTTACTTCTGCTGCTCGATGCAGCCCTTGACTTCCCAGGGACACCTCACAAGTGCTAATGGGGTCTCCTGGGATGCCAGACACAGCATCGAGTTACCAGCTTCACAATGCATGAAATTCTTGTTGCTCAGGAATGAGAACGAGGTGCTGGAGGGTAGTGAGCTCTTCCTGCTCGCCTCTGAGCCAGGATATGCAGCCAGCGTGTCTCAGCTAGAGTGTGGGACTGTCTAGCAGAGCCAGGTCAAGGGAGGCAGATGTGATCCACAAATTCATTACATATGACCCATGGTCTCAGTTTTCTTTTCCTCCACGTTACCACTAGGTAACACGGGGGGGAAATGATTGCTCACATTCAGCGTGGAGGATTCTGGGAACTATCTGCTATAACTCAAACCTTTTGGTTACCATTTAATCACTTGCACTCTATGGCAACACTTGCAATGAGTGGCAGCACTGTAAACATCGCAGTAGGAGTAAGGTGCAGAGCTGCATCGTAGTGCCGCTGCCCGCCAGGCTGGCCCGCTGGCCAGTTAAAAGGCTGCTCCTGCTGAGGCTCTCCCTTGAGCCGAACAAAGGGAGACGAGTATTTAAGCTGAAGGGCCATGGCTCCACTCCTATCACGTTGGGATGGGGGGAGGCGCAGGTGACTTGCAGGTCCGCAACCTGGGGATTTCACCAGCCCTGGGGCAAGTGCCCAATGGAGACCACCACCGACAGCTCAGAGCAGCTTCCCCACTCACACTTGTCCAGATCATCCCATGAGGGCAGACAGCTGGCTCACATGTCTCTCTTATGGTGATGACAGTGGTTGTATAACAGAGTAGCTGAACATCTTGTATAAGTAGCCTGGTCATTCAAGTACTTACCCAAAAGTGACAGATCTGATTACACTGCTGTCGGGATTTATACCCCTACCCCAGACAGAAAAGACCCCCCCTCCCCCCTCCCCGCATCAGACTATGGGCTAGAGACCCAGCCACCAGCCCTGATGAAGGCCTGCCGCACTAGTGCCAGAAATACAGACTTCATCTCACTGGAAAGCAGTAACTAGTGGGCTCGCTTCTGGTGCAGGTCCATGTTCCCACAGTTTTCATTAAATTGTTATCAAGTAAAACACATAGACGGCTCTAGGACCAGTATCCATTTTCTTTCTGTTTTCTTGGCTGCACAACTGCAGGGCGGAGACCAAGGCCGTGCTCTTTGGTTAAGCTGAGGCCAAGGAAGACACGGGGCAAGCTGCCTTCTCCTGTGGAAATGCTCCAGGCAGGGCTGCCCTCAGGGCAGGGGGTGAGGTGAGGCAGCAGCATGGTCTCAGCTTTGTGTCCAGTACGGGCATCTGCAGCTGCTGTGCTCTACACCCACCCCAGAGCTGTCGGTGCCCATTCGGCAAGCCCAGGGAGCACCTGCCAGATGTGGGGGGCAAGGGGCTCTTCTGGGTGTTGCACAGGCTGTGCTCGCCACGCAGAAGGCTTTCAGGGTCAGACCCTTAGCAAACCATCCTACCTCCTGTCTCCAGCTCTAGGTTTTGTTACAGTCAGCTTATGCTTTGCTCTGGCCTTCCACCCCCCCGGCCAGCTTTGCTCCGTGAAGGCCTCCCCACACCAGAACTGCTTCAGGGAAAGGTGTCCCACAGCCCAGAGAGCACCAGTTCATAGCCAAAGAGCAGGCAGGGAGCAGTAGGCACAGGGCAAGCTGCCAAGGAGACCACTGGCTAAGCAAACACCTACTGCAAGGAGCAAGGTACAAACCAGGGTCAAAGCAGAGGGCAGAAAACACGGTAGAAAACACACGTACCATGAGCCCCTTCATCTCTTTCCTCCTCCAAGCCAAATTGTAGCTATGTACTCAGACAAGGTCCACTAACCTGGCAAGGGCTGTGGCTGGTGTTGGGGTGTTTGAAGGCATATGGTGTAGCTCCATGGCCTTTGAGGGGTGCTCTAGCAGCCCCTCTCCCAAGGAAGGTGCAGGCCTCTAACGTGTGGATGGCATCATGGGATAATATAATGGATGAACTTAGGGTGAGCTTAGCAAAGCAGAGTGGTGGGAAGGTGATGCGCTGAGGAGGTTTGAGATCTGTTGCTTCCTCCTGCAGCTGAGCCTGCTTTGGGCTGGACCAGCCCCCTCTCTAGCCAAGTTTGTCACCCCAAGGAGTACATCCAGCCCCAACGCTGCAGGCAGGACCCAACGGGGAGGCAGACGGACATGGGGCCTGCGTCTTTCCTTCCTTTCCTAAGCTCACTCCTCACTAGTGAGCTAGCTGCCGTAGAGCCCGGTGCCTGGAGAAGCATTCACCCCAGCCGCAGGCAGGGGGCGAGCCCGGGCAGCGCACTGCGGTGGAGCGCCTCGAGAGAGCATCCCGCTGCCTGGCCCCTCTCCAGCTGCAGGGGAGACCGTTTCTCTGCCGGCTTTGGTTTCCAGCCGTCATTGCTGGAGTCTGAAGACATTAAGGCTAATTATCCCTGCAATGCAATGCAGTTTTCCATGCCTGCCCCCTGCCACCTGGCCCCTTGTTGCAAAGTACCTGTTAAGCAGCGGCATGTCCCAGCTTTCAGAAGTGCTAGCAGTCAGTAAGCCCTGCACAGAGGCAGAGTAGGGCCTATGTAGGGCGCATATTTTGTTCCTTTCTCCTCCTCTTCACCATGTTGGGCTGCAGAGACCCTCCAGAGATCCCGAAAGGGCTCCTGCAGGGTCAGCGCAACGGCCTGAGCCTCTGCTGAGCCACGGAGGGGGGCAGCAGCTTTCCAGGGAGGAGGTAGAGCCGGGACAGGACCGCAGGGAAGGGGAAGGTGGGAGGCAGAGGGTAGCTCCCGACAGGCTTCCCTCCG